TCAATCTGAATGAAAGGGAAGGTTTGCAGACTTGTTTAGGATTGATGCAAGAATCTGTGAATTTCTTTTCCCAATGAGAAAAACTAGGAACATTGGTTGTTGCACTTAAATGTCAGAAGGTCTGAAAATATACTGTCACATCTGTGAAAGCAAAACAAGGTGAGGAGACCAGAACTTTACACAGTATTCCAAATGCAGTCGCACCATAGTTTTGCAGAACAGCATTATTATATTGGCAGTTTTATTGTCAACTCCTTTCCTAAGGATTCCTAACATGGAATTTGCCCTTTTCACAGCTGCCACATACTGGGCCAACAACTTCATCAAGCTATCCAGTATGACACCCAAGGTCTTGCTCCTGGTCAGTCACCAGATCCCATGAGGGTATATGTAAAATAATAATAATAATAATAATAATAATAATAATAAATGTCCCAACATGCATCACTTTACACTATTTTTCGTTGAATTGCACTTGTCAATTGACCACCTATTCATTCAGTTTGGAGAGGTCCTTTTGGAGCTCTTCAAAATCCCTTTTTTGTTTTAATTGTCCTGAGCAATTTAGTATCATCAGGAACCTTTGCCACCTCACTGTTCACTCCTAACTGTAGATCATTTATGGTCAAATTAAAAAAGCATATGTCCCAATATTGATCCTTGGGGGGATTCCACTTTCTTCACCTGTCCATTTATTCCTGCTCTGTGCTTCCTGAAACTTATCCAATTCCTGATTCACCTCTAATCTCATTCCTTGACTACTAAGCTTACTGGTGAGGTACTTCGTTGAAACATTTTTGAAAGTCCAAGCACACAATGTCAACCCAATCACTTCTGTCTATATGTTTGTTGACACTGTCAAAGAACTCTAATTGCTTCCTGAGAGAGATCCTGCCCTTACAGAAGCCACACTGGCTCTACTTCAGTAATGCTTGCTCTTCCATATACTTGGTTATTTTATCTTTAACAATACTCAAATTTTCCTGTGATAAATATTAAGCTAACCAGTCTGTAATTTCCAGGATCCTCCCCCCACCCCCAATTTAAAAAATGGTGCTACGTTGGCTAATTTCTAGCCACATTAGAGTGATTTAAGAACTATCAGGTAGATGCCACCTGGCCACAGTAATTTGTCAGTTTTTATTTTGCCTTTAGGCCTCTAACTTCATCTCTCATTGCCATAATCTGCCTCAGTTCCACTTTCTCTTGTTGCATTTCTATGTCTGGCTCACCTCATTCCTCGCTTCTCCATTTGCTGTCTCACTGCTGAAATTTTGCAAAGCATAATGTATACTGCTGGCTCAGGACTGGGTCTGGTATCAGCCCCAGAATCCTTGGAGACCTCTAGGGCATCTGTGCCCTAGAAAAGCCCATGGGCACTGATAAGTACCATGAGCTTCCTCAAGTGGTGCTCTCAGGCACTGTGGGAAATTTTAAATGGTGGCACATATCCACCAGGTAAGCCCAAAGCCATAGTTTCCACCAACTTAATAGGGGTCCCATAGGCAGCACCTTGTTGAGGCCCCCCTCAAACCTGAAGCAGCCTGATCAGGATCCCAAATGCTGCACATTATTCCCTTTTTAGTCCCTCTTCCGGTGGTAGGTCCTTGTAAACCCTGGTTGCTCTTTCCCCAAGGGAAGGAAGACCTTTCTGCTCATACAGGGTTGGCTGTTGCAATCAGTAAAAGGTCACAATAAAATGACCTTTCCCCCACAATGTTCATTATATCAATGACTAGGCCAGGGGTCAGCAAACATTTTCAGCAGGGGGCCAATTCACTGTCCCTCTGACCTTGTTGGGAGCTGGGCTATATTTTGGAGAGAGAGAGAGAAGAGAGAACAAATTCCTATGCCCCACAAATAACCCAGAGATGCATTTTAAATAAAAGGACACATTCTACTCATGTAAAAACACGCTGATTCCAGGACCGTCTGCGGGCCAGATTTAGAAGGCGATTGGGCCAGATCTGGCCCCCAGGCCTTAGTTTGCCTACCCATGGAGTAGGCGGCCAAAATTATCTTTCCCCAGTACTCCAGCAAACGATCTAAAATGTGAGAAACAGTTGTGCACATGCAGAAAGGATGGTGCCAGTAGCAGAGCACCAGTTGCAAGTTGCCGAAAATGTACACAAATGACATTTTTGCCGCATAGTTGGATTGGCCTACATATTATGCTCCTATAGGTAGAGACATAAATCTGGGTGCTCAAGAATGCAGCCATCACTCTGCTTTCTAACTCACATATGCCCACACTAAACATTAACTGCTAATTTCTGGGATATTAGAATCAAGCACAATTTCCACTCTGGCACTTTTATGGCCTTATTGAACCATGCATATTTTGGGACTTTTGTCCTCTGTTTCCTTCATTTTGCCTTTTCAGGCCTTTCTACAGTGCTGACTTCCTAGTTTATGAATCACTGTCTGTTTATTCAAGTCATTAAAGTGCTATTGGCAAACTGTCCAATGAAAGCTTTCAAAGATATCAGGGGGCATTTTTCTCTGTCAGCTTGACAATCCATACATGTCCATGCCGCCGTGGTATAAAAATGTTATGATTAAATTCTGTGGATGAAAATTCTACAGCCATCCACCCACTCACACATTAGTACTATTAAAATGGAACAGAAAGTTGTTTTGAACAAGGCCAGCTCTACTATTAGGCAGAATATGCCGACTGCCTCAGGCAGCAAAGGCAGGGCAAGTGTACAATAACATACCCTCCAACATTTCTCCGATAAAAATAAGCACATCCTACCATACCCTCCAACATTTCTCCAAATAGGAATGTCCTAAGGGAAAGCAGGACATGGTGGGATCAAATCAGAAACTAAGATGGCTTCTGTAAATCCAGGAGTGTTCCTGGAAAATAGGGACACCTGGCGGGTCTGCAATAACAGCCTAATTTGGAAGAGCCCAAAAACATCTGCACACTCAGGACTTTATTTGACTTTCCATAACAACAATCACCCTATAATTACTGGGGAGGGGGGCTGCCTGCCTTGTAACATAATATTTAACCTGAAAAGTTAAATATTAGAACTTTGTATTATGAGCTACAGTTAGACTCCACCCATTGGACTTTCGCTTGTTCTACTGTTCAGTTTCAGTTCTGTTCTCTGCGCAGTCACCAACAAAGAAGCATTCTGGGTTGCCAAATTAGTTTTTTCTGCAGTTATTATGAAGGGAAGAGCAGGACTGGATGCTTACTGCTAAGGGTGAAATAAAGAGAAAACTTAGTGATCTGGAAAAAGCCTACCCTAAGTTACCCTATGTTTTAAATTCATTACACCCTTTCCCCCCTTCTTCCCTTTGTCTTGTTGCCTGAGAGAAGGTTTTGACACCAGCTACAGGAGACATGGAAGCAAGGAGTTGCAGCGTCAGAAGCATTAGTGGGAACGGGCTGCGATTATGTAGTTCTGTCAAACTGTACTAGTGATCTGTCCTGCTGCTGTTGTCTGCTAGACACTAAATGGAGGTTGCACCTTTGTGGCTAAATAGACTGCACAACGATCAATCACGTTAAGGTCAGTGAAGCCTCCAACACGCTCAAAATGCGGAGCTCACAGGTGGATCATATTTAAAATGGAATCACCTACAATCCACCAGTTACTTGGACCTGGTGTCGTTAACTATTTATGCTCACCCAGCCTAACCAAGTTTATGTGGGCGAGCATAAATGAAGATATATACAAGTACCTTGTTGCCAAAAAGAAAAAAGAAAGAGGGAGAGAGAGAATAGGGCCCTTGGTGATTGTTCTGTTCGCCTGGATTTAGAAGCCTTCTGTTTATTGTATACAATGTATTTGACAGGAAACTAAAGTTATTTAGTAGAGAGGGAAAGGGTCCAGCAATACACACATGGATACTTCTATAGCACTTAGCTATAAATCTGGAGTCCAGCTCAAAACTCCTTTCTTACTATCAGAGACTGAAATAATTCTACCCTGGACAATGGAGTTAACTTACTGCGCAGGATGTGCGACTAGCTTGGGAGAACATACCAGTACGCATTGAGACCACAGATGCAGACAAATTTTTGATGCATATTTTAAGATGTACCCCTCTAAACCTTTCAGACTTGGGAGCTACCTTTAATCCTTGCCTGAAACAGGACACATACGATTGATTTTCATTTTTTACTATGTACACCTGCCTGCCTTTCTTTTTTCTCCCCATGCTCTCTTTTATTGCTTTCTGTCTTTCTCCTTGCCTTTCTCCCTCTCTTTAACAACAATCTAAGAAACTGAAAAAACAGAAAAATCCACCTTAAGAGTGCAGGGCCAGCCCATGCGTGAGGTGGACTGATGCAGCTGTCTCAGGTGGTGGAATCCTGAGGGTGGCGCCTATGCCTGCTGCTGAAGAATTGGCAGCAGTGTCTTCCAGCAAGATCTTGTGGAACTCTCACAATTGCTCACAATATCTCACCAGAAGCTGCAGCCACACAAACCCCAGTACATGATGCTTCAGTGGCAGGGATGGCACCTTCTTGTTTTGCATCAGGCAGCAAAACAGAATGGGCCACCCCTGTTACATTGGGTGTGATTCACTTCTGGGTTTCAATCTACAACTCCACTGAGTTTTCATTTCAAACCAGTAATGAAATGTCTGGATCTTTTTAGCAGGAAAATGAGGCTACCAGAAATTCACTGTTATGAAGACCTGTGAGACAATCCAATTATATTACTGTATCAGCTCTTGGGGGCAATCTATATCTTACTGACTTTATTTATTTAGCTTTGCAAAATCATTCCATATTATTTTGGCATTGAGTGTAGTTTTATGCTAAAAAAGCTAAGGGCCACTTCACACATCTTTTTTTAAAGCCCTATTGGATGTACACCCAAACCTGTAAAATGTTAATGCTGTAAGCAGGTCTTTGCAAATATGTACACCGAACAAGGTACATGAGCTGGAATCTGCGGCTGTCTATCAAGAATGCATTGGGACAAACCTGGGTTTGTTGCACAATGTGTGATATGTAATAACCTGCATCTCTTGTCTGGGATAGCTCAGTTGGTAGAGCATGAGACTTTTAATCTCAGGGTCGTGCGTTCGAGCCCCACATCGGGCAAAAATATTCCTGCATTGCAGTGGGTGGACTAGATGGCTCTCGTAGTCCCTTCCAACTCTGCGATTCTATTATTCTTCCCAGGTGAGCATCTAGGCTTTTAATACCCTTTTTTCAATTCTGCTACTTTTTATTTGCCACTATTCACAGCATCCTTTCATAATTTCCAAGGCCAAATTATATGTCATCTGTGTGCCATAAGTAGAGGTATCTATGATCCACACACCCCCCCCCCCCCCCGTGGTTATGGGAATTTCTTCCCACATATGTTCCTCAAAGTATGAGCATCTCCTGAAAAGTGTTGTTAAAGTACTTTATTTGAAGCAGCTTCCGGTGAAGTAGCATTGACGTTTGCCTCAGCACATTCTAGAACCAATGCACTTCTCCTTTATATATGTGTTGGCTCCTGGAACCCAAAATTAAGGAGATAGGGTCAGGTTGTTTTTTATTTTTATGATGATAGTGATCAGTGCTTTTGTTCTAAAAAAAATGTTTAGGGGTACTCTCATTTTCCTACTCATATTGAAATACTGCCCCTCAGTGAGGCCAAACTTAGATTCACAAAATGTTTAGGGGTATGCGTACCCCTACGTCCCCCCAGAAAAAGCACTGATGATGAAGATTACAGCATCTACCCCATGTTACATTACCTATTTGATATGTTTCTTTGTTTTAAAAATACAGGACTATGGAGTGGGGGTGTGGGAACAAATGCTAACACATTTGGCTGTGTGACGTTCTGACTTGAGCCAGCAGTATGGAGTAGGTTAGCAATTAAAAACAAAACCCTACAGCAGGCTTCCTCAACCTTGACCCTCCAGATGTTTTGAGATTACAATTCCCATCATCCCTGACCACTGGTCCTGATAGCAAGGGATCATGGGAGTTGTAGGCCAAAAACATCTGGAGGGCCGAGGTTGAGGAAGCCTGGCCTACAGTTTGTGAATCCAACAGTGATTGTTGATCAATCAAATTTCAAACAAAAACTATGATGGATAAGCAGTTTATCGGGGGTGGGATATGTCCTTGCTATTTATGTTTTGCAGTTTTATATGTGAAAAACATTCAGAACTTTTTTTAAAAAAAGAAAAAGAAAAGAAAATCTGATTCGCACAAGCAAAGGAGGCAAACCACTCAAAAGCCCAGCCCACCACGCACAAAATGGATTCTGACAATGGATGCTATAGTCAGCTCCCAAGGATATTATCAGCTAGCATCAGCACACTGGTTTAGCAAAGAGTTTTTGATGTACTGTAGACAAATCTGGAGGGTTTGGATTATTTACAGAGTGGGGACAATGAAGTTAGCCCATCTCTAAAGCAAGCACTGGTGTGAAATACAGACAGTTGTTGGTTGTTACTGGCCATTGAGGTTCAGCAGATCTGGCAATTTTATACATCCTTTAAAAGGTTATATAAGGAAAAGGTAAAAGTTGCCAGTTCACAGCACACAACCCTCTGAAACATTTGTTTCCCTTTAGCAAAGCTCTTTTGGCTTCCTGCCAAAGGATGACCCCCTGACTCTGTTAAGTTTCAGGGGCAACTCTATGTAAGACACTGTATAGCAGGCTTCCTCAACCTTGGCTTGAGACTACAATTCCCAGCATCTCTGACCACTGGTCCTGCTAGCTAGGGATCATGGGAGTTGTAGGCCAAAAACATCTGCAGGGCCGAGGTTGAGGAAGCCTGCTGTATAGTGATTGTAACTAATGAGCAAATCACATATTGAATGTGCTCCATTTAGCTACGCGGTGGCACCATGAAGGCAAGTCAGACTGTGGGCAATGCTTCCTATCCTCACTCTGAATGGATTAATACTTCAGCGCACACACCCCTCAAAACTCACAGACAGGGGCAGTTTTCATACTGAGGAGAGTTTCAGTGAAAAAATGGCCCTTTTTGGCTCAGCCCAAGATTTGCTTACATGTGGCATAATATAAATATTTATGTGCTTGTATGTACATTTGGACAAGTGATAGGCATGTCTAAGTTTTCAAATGTGTTTTAATTGGGGGGAAAGTAATTCTCTCTCTCTCTCTCTCTCTCTCTCTCTCTCTCTCTCTCTCTGTTTGATTCTTAGGGTGGCAGCACCATCTGCTGGTATTATATTGTAGTCTGAAGCTACCCCTACAATCTTTTTTCTTTACTTTCCCCTTAACTTCTTTCATGAAATATACCCTAAAACAGGCACATTTCTTGGCCACCATTAACGATAGGACTTTCATTAACACCTTTCAAACACAGAAAACATAGCTTACTCCATTACCTCAGTTACGTCTTCCACAAAAGGAAGGAAATCTTAATAGCTCCGAAACCTAATACTGGTATGGAAAGACTGGAAGTCACAACAATTAAGCATGCAAACAAGTAGATAAATGAATTATCCCATTTCAGTAAAAGCTTGCAATTATAGATGCCATTGGATTGGATACTGAAATTAAATACAGCTTCTGAGTAGAGATGGTGGGGAATTTCACATTAATTGAGCTTTACTGCAAACTCTGCAATATTCTTCACTCATTTTTCCAACTGCGCAAGCCAGTCAGGTTTCTTGCGAGTATCAGCAATATTTAACACACTTAACAACAATGCTTTTGAACCCAGGCCATTATATCAGTGATACTCTGGGGTTTTGGGAGGTAATTGTTTTGGAGTTAGGGTCTGATCTGATGTGCTAAAATGTGTATTCCCTTGAACTGTGCTTTAGCGAGGTAAAGATGGTTAGATTCATTGTTAGATTTCTCATCCTGTCTCCCTGCCAATATAGCTCTATATTACATGGTGGGGTTGTGGGGGGAAGGCCATGCTTAATAGTACTAATAGATTATACAGTAAATATACAGGCAAATAAATTTTAAAGGAAAAACTATTCTCTGAACATCTCTCAGAGGTATGTGAAGTAATCCCAGAGCTCCCGCCCCCCAGCCAGAGCTCAGTTTTAGCACCTCTCAGGTGGGCACAATGTCCATTTTAAGAGAATAGGGGAGAAGTTCATGGTGAACTCTGGTGCCCCTTTTTCTAGGAAAAATAGCACTGGGTAATCCTATCAATGAAATACCTCACTAATTTACGCAATCAGTGTTGCTTAGGAGTCTGTGCCCTTGACCAAAAGTATCATGATTACGTGCATGGCAGATGGAAAGTAAAATACTATCTATACCACAAATAACCATGTTATGTGGTGGGCCCAGCATTATCAGTTTTAGGCTGGGTCTCACTTTACTATTACACTATGCAACTAAAGGTCAACGGAAGAAGAACACAGCATTGCAATGTTTAAAGTAGAACTAAACAGACACATTGCTCCTCAGTAACACACACACACAAAAATTCCAAAAACGGTTAGAGCCAACAACACAATTGAAGATCAATAATTGCATTAAAAAACAGCAAAACAATATGCTTTGTTCAGCTGCAAACACAAGATTCACTGAACTCCTAAAATATATATATATAGAAAGAAGAAAGGGACACATCAAAATTAATGTGATACTACAAGACAGACCAATTACAATACCTCTGGGGGCATGCAAATGGCTACTTGACGATGGGCATTGAGTAGCTGTAGCAGTACTGTAGGTCATGATATCCATTACAGCTGTCAGGAGGATAGAAAACAATAATGTTATTCTCACAAACCACCCAATCGGGCCGAGGTCATATAAGGTTAACAAAAGCCGAACTGCAGCGGTCCAAGTTTGAGTTACATCAGCGCTGTCAAAAGACCAGCAGATACAGAACTGTAAACCCCACTCCTGTTCATGACACAGAGGCCTCCGGAAATACGTTACGAAATATGAACATTTCTTTTTCACGATTACAAGATGGTGGAAGGAGGAAGTCAGAAGAGATGGCTTGCATTTTATAGAAACACACTGCACCTCCAACACCTGAAGGCCAGGATTTGCCCACATTCAACTGTGTCCCAGAATGCAGGCTTTTCCTTTATATCCCATTAAATTCATTGATAACTCAACCACCCACTACCTGCACAGCCTCACTCCTTCATCTCCTTATCATTGTCCCAGTTACACTTCTTGGTTTGGCACTACAGTGTGATGAAACATTGGGATCCATCTTCTCTATATATTTATATTGATTCCTGACATACACCATTACAGGCTTCGGTGCAACACAGTTCCATTTTCTTCTAAATAAACCCACCAACACCAGATTTGTCAGTGAATGTATTAATGCAACAAATAACCCCAGTTATAAATACTGAAGATTAAATCTGTAAAATAATAGTAAAAAGTGGCAATAGAGGAAGGCAGAACTGAAGCATATTTCAGCAATATAGAGTAGCAGAACATGTGTGGCCTATCATTTTTGGTAAATGACGGCAAGAGAGAAAAGGCAAAGTAACACAATAAAATGGAGCTATGGGTATGTGATAGCTAAATCTGATTACATTTGCAAAAGAGAGAGAGAGAGAGAGCTCTTCCATAAAGAATATATTCTAAAACATCCACCAAAGTACATAGTACTTTGGCTAGAATTGATTGTTATGGGGGAGCCCAGACTGGCAATTTCATGAGTGGAAAATAAACTGTAAGCTAAGAAATCTAGCAGTGATAACTAATGGCAGTGATACTTACAACGGCGATTTGATCTCTAACAGAAAAAGTACTCTAAAGGATGGATGTATGCAGCCCAGGTCATTTTTCCATATAAAAACAAAATAGGATCAAGGCACTTCTGCGAAATAACAAACGGTTGCTATACGTTTCCACTGATTCAATCGCTAACAAAAATATTACACCGATAACACAAGAATGGCTCCAGAGGGTAGCAGCAGACTACTTATGATTGTGACATGAAGGAAGGAGAGTGTCATTTCACATATATCTGTGAAATGTGATGATGTGCTTTAAAACTTATGGAAATGATTCTTTCCTCCCTCCCTCTTTTTCAAAAACAAACAAACACCTATGTCAGAACAATCACCTAAAACTTCATTCTTCAAATGAGTTGAAGTACAAAGTCTGGTTATTACGGGTGTGC